CCCCCCCTTTCTTATCGTTTTCGCTCATGTCCTTGCTAGAATTTGTTATCTGGGCTAGATCAAGTTCGCTGGCTTCACCTCTAGGACCAGTTGTGACTGATTCGAGTTCCAACTTGCATTACATTAAAGGGTGAAGCTGGTTCTTTCTTGTTCCTGAGCTCTGTATCATTGGGGAATATTTTGCTGTACCTTTTTGTTGAGTTGTCCCACATCGGTGGGATTTGAGGTCCTTGAGACCTCGTAAGCTAGCTTTTGGAGTTGAGTCAGAACCAAGGTCCATTTATCATGGTATCAAAGCCAGGCCCGTCCCAATTTTTGTTACCTATGTTGGGCCCCATTTATGTTGTCCACGCTCCAGTTTGCAGACCTGGGCGTGAGGGGGGTGTTGAGTTGTCCCACATCGGTGAGATTTGAGCTACTTGGTCTCCTTATATTGTGTTGGAAAATCCTCATCTCATAAGCTAGCTTTTGGGGTTGAGTTTGGCCCAAAGTCCATTTATCACTTTTCATTAAAACAATATTTTTTTCTTGTTTTTGTTTGAACTTCACTTTTGGTCATGCTATAGAGTAGTTTTGTGGGTAATATGTCTGTCTTATGATTAGTGAACAATTGTATCCTGTCACAGGCTGCTGCAGTTCAGTCGGGGCAGAAGATCATGGAGTATGGGATGTCGATTGTTGACGGTGAATCAAGTCAGGGTCAGATTCCCCGCCTTCTTGGTGAGTGTCTGGTAGCATTGGCAATTATACTGAAAGAAAACATATGTCCTATTAGCTTGTTTCTTGGTCTCGGTATATTTGAAGTATTTCATTTTTAGGGAATCATAAGTTATGCCGTTGTTTAAAGTTCCCGGTGGTTGGAGAGACATGGAAACTCTTGCTTTTCGAGTGCTGGAAGAGCCCAGATGTAGAAACACACAACATCATTATGCTTATGGTAGTATGATTTTACTGAAAAGCATCATCACTTCTTGCCCTCCATCTCCACAAGTCTTGACCAATGACCAGTGAGTGTGGTATTCTGTTTTTGGAACATCAACGCTTCATAGTTTCCCGGAGTTCGCTCCTAGAAATATAGCCATCACTTGCCCCTCGCGTCTTTGACTCGTTGAAATTCATCTGCCTCCAATCTTGTTAGTTCCTTGTGGAAGACTCATTTTCTTGAGCTTATAAACTTGCGATACATTTGTTTTTCAATTCTTAAGGTTGTCTATGTTTTTTCCTTTGGTTATTATCAGGAAATATTTATCCTTGAGATTCTGTGGTTGTAAATAGCACTACTAGTACTAGAAAAAAATAATTCATCTTATTGATGTACATTTATTGTTTAACTCCATAGAAAACTTCAGCTTAGATCACAACTGGTGTAGCAGTATAGGTAGAGAGATCCTTGAAATATGCCTTAATTGCTAATGAGCGGGTGCGTAATGGTAGGTTTAATTGGATTCTAGGAAGCCTATGAATGCTCTGGATGATTCACATAGGAGTTGGTGAGATGCATTTATGTTATCTTAATCTTCTATATGAAGCTATCATGGAAGGTCACTTGTTCTTTCCTAGTAACCTTTCCGTTTGATTTGTTGATAGATATTGTTCTATATCTTTGTGAGAAAGAGCACGTGGAGGGTGGCATGATATTTCAACTTTTAGAAGATTTGACTGAAATGTCAACAATGAGAAACTGCGAGGATATCTTTGGTTACATAGAGAGCAAACAAGACATATTGGGGAAGGTATGCATAATTGTTGCTGGTTTCAGTTCTATGAACATTTCCGACTTTATTTATGGTATGTGTTTATTTGGTGAGGCAAATTCTTGACATTCACAATGTTTATGTTCATTTTTGTGACATATAGCCAGAACTCTTTGCACGAGGGAAGCTTGTTATGTTAAGGACGTGTAATCAGTTGCTTCGCCGTCTATCAAAGGTACGCAGTGCTTTTCCCTTCAGCTTCGTCTTATAATAGATATCAGAAATATCTTTGTCTCTGTTGCACATTAATTCATCTGGTGCACGTTGTGAAAATGAATCAATTTGCAGCAAATATAAGTCATTACTTTATTGTCAATGCAATGAAACAGAAAGGGCCCCTGGTATCCACTAATGGCATTGTCCATTGATTTCATTTTATCATGGTAAAAAGTTTCATTTATTGTATATTTCTAAATCTTTCCCTCTGTATTAGATCAAGGCACTATCTTGGAAGTACAAGCTCCAATTTCAAATATCTCTTCTTTTTCCATGTACGAGCTCCAATTTCAAATATCTGTTCCTATTTCTTAATGATCAAGAAGTTTAGTTCAATTTATTATATGGAGTAATGAAAGAAATATTTGCTATTATTAGAGTATCTCCTAATTCGAATACCTTGTTTATCCCCCCCAAGAAAGTCCTCCTAACTTGTAGTTTCTTGGGTTGTTTTGATTACATTTGGGTGACACATATTAAATAAAATT